TCCATAATTGCACAGAAATGAAATAACTAAACAACCATACAAACAATGTCACCACAAGATGATGCCATCTGGCATCCTAACATTTAGGGCAAAGTAAAAAAGTGCAGATAAGTTTAAAGATCGTCAAGGGGGGATGAAGGAATGTTTCCTGCTTGGAGGACGGAAAGCTGAGACTTTAGAGAGTTTACATGGACGCATTTATACATGAATCCGTTTCACTGGAAGATGAAAGGAAATTCATGACTAGCATGTTTAAAGTCATGAATTCGGAAATGAGCTCCAAAACCTGACATGGAAATCGGTTCACTAACGTGTTCGCTCACCTAGAAGGGTGTCATAAATCGAGGAAGCCATAAGTAGGTGAGAGAATGAAATCAACTACTCCCTCCGAATCAATCTAATTCACGATGTTTCAGGTATTGGATTAAGGTTTGTAATATATGAGCCACATAACAAGTCATGAATCAGAATAATTCCAATACCCGTGTGCTATGAGAAATTAAAAATCAGAATAATTCCAATATTCAATCTCATTCCAGGTAAGTGAACATGTCATAAACCGTGATCGAACCCAAAAGCAATACCAGAAACTACAGATAAAATTCATTGGTTTACCAAAAGTAATATCAGAAACTAAAGGGGAGAGCTTTAAGCCTTGAACCCCAATCCAAGAAATTCAGAAGTTGAAAGTTATTATTTTGAAATGAGTTCAAAAGCTCTATTAGTATTTTGTACAGATGCTTTAATTGGCAGACGTAGACAGGCCCTGGCTTCTAAGAGCTCTAGCTCTGTGCCGTCTCTTGAAAACATCTTGCCGGAATCTTTTGGTCTCGGTCTTCATCTCCAAGAAGGGTCTCCTCTCTATACTTTCTCTTTCCCTCTCCAGCATTCTTTGCCTCTTTAGAACCGCCAAGGCTGCGGCTTTGTTCTCCTTCTGTTGGATCTCCGTCTCTTCCTGCACAATCATATATATATAAACAACTGCACATATATAATAGGTGCCAACATATGTGACTGTCTGTGCAAGTACTTCGATACATGTGCACAGCCTACTGCATATTCAGGTTTTCATTCATCTGTTTTACGTGAACTTATTGGCGCTAATTTTCTAGTCATTACAAAGTTATTAAAGTAACAATATCTTTGACTTTGGGAGATATTCCATTTAGTACAATCATGTCAATGTTCACTAAAATGGAAAGTGAGTGAACATATCAGGAAGGGGAATTAAGACAGACCTGAAGATCACGAATGAGACCGTCAAGCGATTTAATCTTCCTATGTGGCCACCGAGGAATACCAAATTCTCTGCATTTCTTCTTAAGTACTGTGAGTCCAACATTCAGATTTCTCGAAGCTTCCACAATTGGTAGATCAAAATACTTTGCCAGATCTGACAAAGAGATACTTGCTATGCGTCCACTTGGTGCCCTTCTTTTCTTCTCTGTAATACCTGCAACCTTGCACCTAGCCTATGAGATATCAAATTCAAATAATGCAGTAGTATAATGGGGAAAACATTGAAGAAAAAAGATTTTTCCAAAAGGAAAGTATTGAATATCAATTTCTATGAAAAGTCCGGTATTTTACTTTTGCATACATTACAAATGGTAGTCAGAATTACAAGATACACATCACTTGATAGTTGTCTTAGGTTATGGTAATAAATGAAACTTTTACGTGGTAGCATTCTTAAGTAAGCTGCTGTGAAGAGAAACCCTAGCTTCAGTTCCATACACTCCAAAGCCATAGAAGAAAACACCAAAGGATGCATACTGCATAGAAAGTTGAATTTTTTAACCCTGGCAACAACTGATTCTAAGACTTGTAACCCCTTCACACTTGATTGCGACAAAAATGAATTGAAGAGCAGAAAGCAATGTGTGGCAACAATAATAGAAAGCAATGCATCTAACCTGGTGAACTTCTTCCACTTTCTTGATCCTCAGATGATTCAGACATTGTGACAGGGCTAGGAAGAGAGTTCAGATCCAGATCAAGTATCGGCCACCTCCTTGATTTGTGGTTACTGTCATTACTCCCTTGGCTTGTTTCCTCCTGTGACCTTTGCAATGATTTTTTGTCATCTGTTTTGCAACTCAACTCGAAAATCATCTGAAGATCGTTAGACAATCTTGGAATTGTCCTTCAACTTTGGATTTCTGAACAATTAGGACAAAATATTGTTAGAGTTATGAATAAGATTGGAGATAACAAGGAGGTTTGAAACAATCAAAACTTTAGAAAAGCTAGGAATCGGGAGCTGAGTTTGGGATTAGGTTCAGAGCAATTAAGGACTATATCTTCAGCAAAGATCAAATGTTCTACAGGGAAACGTAATAAAATGGAAAACCAAGATTTTTCCGTAAATGTTCTCATATCCTATGATAACGGATAAGTTATTCTGTTAGAATCAGTTTCGCCACACAAAATCACTAGAGAAAAGGAGGAAGATCGTCACTTGATGAAATCCAAAACTCTTTTAGGTAAATTTTAAATAGATGATTCCATATTGAACTGCTAATACTTCAGGGGACGCACATCAAATTCTACAGTAAACCCTCCCGATTAAGTTTGAAAAAGCATAGACGTTACGAGCATATTTCAACACAAATGAAGTAGCCCACTTAACCATCGCTCAGTCTCTTCAAGCCAAGCTGGACAAATTCTAACATAAAGCAGGTAAACATGACAGCGTGTGACGCTACTCATAATAACTGATTAGTGACCAAGATGCGCAATCTGAAAGGGGCGTTCTAAGCACCCTTGTAAAGCACGAAAGGGGCAAGGGGCAATGCAACAGGGGCGTTTCACACACCCCCTCCTGTAAGTATTTCTCAGGCACTGAAACCCGATAAACCCTGCATCTTTACTCATTTGTCAGTACCTAGTTAACTAGGATTGGCAATGCCTGAAAACGGAAGATAATGCTGCACAAAACCAAAGAGATTCCACCAAACCACCAACTCTTTCCAACGGGAAAATGAGGAGACTAGCACCATGAATTTCTCATCCAACCAATATCCTCTACATTTACAGGCCTAAACATTAAGCTAATCATTCTAACGACATGTTGCAAATCCGCAATCGGGTAATACTGCAATTAGTACATCTAAAACACAAACACGAACAACTCCAACTCCAACCAAAAGAACAACTGAACAACACCATGAAAAACATCAAAAACAGAGACAACATAAGACTAAATTCATTAGACTGAAAAGGGTACCTGGAGACTGAAAGAACAGAGGGAATGCATGTAAAATCAGGAGGTGAATTTTCATGAAATGCTAAAATGCAGACCCAGCAGCCATTGACATGCCCTTGGAGCACTTGGGAAGCCGGAAATTTCATCAGTCTCAGAACCGGCTCAGCTGACAGCTCCACATACAACCCATTTTCTCTGAACACAAACTCCCTCTCCACCTCATTTCTCTTCCCCTCATCCAATCCGTACACATGCAAGCTCCTGATCAACTCTGCCAAACACAAAAAAAACCATTTTTTTCATAAAATTGAAAAACAAACAAAACCCAACAAGCAGAAGAGCAGAAAGATACAATATTTGGAGAGAAAGGAAAACAATTGGAAAACTGGGGATGGTGGGTTTTGATAAACTCACCCTGGTTGATGGTGTTCTTGAAGACCAGGAGAGATCTCAGCAAATGGGGGTCACAGTCACAGGAATCCATGAAAAGTGAGAGAAGAAGATCATGGTGTTGTGGGGGTGAAAAATGTAGGGGAAGGAGTACTAGTGCATTGCCGCTGGTAGTGACAGCTAAAAACGGTGAGAAGAGAGAGAGGGAATGGAATGAAATGAATGCAAAAACCCAGGCTCTGAATTTGGTAGCCTGCCAAGCCAAAGTATTTTTCCTTTTCTCCTACTTTTCTTTCTTGTTGGCTTTTTTTCGATATTTCCTTTTTTCGTTTTAGATATAGATTACCAATTTTATTTTTTCTTTCTATTTCATAATTTCAGGTTTTTTTTTTAATCTTTCTTTTCTGCTAATTAAAATTTGAGATTCATGTTTATTAATTACATAATTTTGAAATTAAACTTATTTAATGATAATAAATAACGTGATGAATATTACTATGATTTCAGATGATGCGTAAAATTATTTCCTAATAATTATGAACGTAATTTAAGTGCTGAAAAACTTAATGCTCTAATAAAAAGATGTAGATTATACTAACATTTCATGGACTTAAACATTTCTATAATCATCTTCATTGTAAAAATTGTTTTTATTTAGGAAAAAATGAGACTAATTGTTCCGAATTATTGGAAGACATAAATTAGTTTCTTAATTTTTTTGTAAAATGGGGCATCCGAGGTTATGATTTTTGTCGTCTAGCTACTTAATACACGTGGGCTGCCACGCCAACCTTTGTTTTCTTCTGACCCGTAAATTGACAATAAAGTGCATTTCATTCCTCAAATTACCTCTTTATGCCATCCAAAACCCGCACTTACCAAATTAACGCTGAAATGACACAAAAATTTCTGCCACGGAATGTAGGGTGTCGAATTATTTACAGAAAGTGGCAGGGGCATTTTGGTCAAATTAAAATCAAACTTGGTCACGGAATCCTTTGTAACAACCTTTGGGCATGTGTGAAAGGTGGCCAAAAAGGGATCTGGAAATAATAAAGAAATAAGTAATTTACTTGTTCAATACGTTTGCAATTTCCATGGAAGCAGAAACTGCCATTGTTGCACATCTTTTCATGAGATTGGATGGTCGGGACGGTTGGACTACCGGGAGTTGTGTGTTTCTGTTGTATTTTGCATATATGTCCTTTCTCTTTCTCTAAATTGCAGATTCTACCTATAACAGACCGTCTGATCAAACGATTGATTCGACCAATTAATAAGATCATGTTGCTTCATCAGTTATGAACATGTTGATATACAATAACGTGCATATATGCTTGTTGATGTCTAATCATACCCATATGAACAACCAGTTTGACTCAAGGTTTTTCAGAGCCAGAAATTTCCAAAATACTGTATCATTTTCGAAATATAGAGAAAAACCAATAACAATGTTGTCGACAAAATTGATAGCCAAAATGTCTTGGAAACAAAATCTATGACACAATGTACGTAGGGATATGCAAGTTTCTTGGAAGCATAAAAAGGACACTAATTTCTTGTTTCTAGTGTACAAGATGCTACAAGTCCTATTTCCACATCTGCAAATTCAGGTGGCAAAGCGTTGTGGGGATGCTTTAGTGCCCCTAGTGTACAGTATACACTGACTTGAGTCCGACAAACCGGCATTAGCTATCTAGACTAAGCTCGGTATCATCCTCCAGATTATCAGGCTCCACGGGCGAGGAGGGTGTCTCCGCAAAGAGTACCTCATCTGGATACATCTTCTGGAAAAGCTGCAGCACCAACACCGAGTTTTACTAGGGTTAACATTAGGTGTGAAAGATAACGAGTCATTAAGCATAAAGAGACAGAAGCAAAAATAGTCCGTTAAAGAAGATGTACCGCAACAGTTGAATCTACAAGATCATTGTAGTTAAGATTTCCATCCGGCATGGGAGTGAAGAAGATGTTTTCACATTCACCCTGAAATCAATGTAAATCACAGCTCGAATGAAAAGACGCCAAGAACAAAAAAGCATCAAATAAGTGCACAATCGTCGTGGAAGATAGAGAATTACTAGGAATAACTTAAGTCCATACGTACATTGTGCGCTGTTGTGAGCTCCTGAATGTATAACGTACTCCAAAGTAGTGTCGGTTTTACATCTGCATCTTCACTTTGAACGGCGGAACCACTTTCATGATTTGCAGAAACAGGAAGTGTGAGAAGTGCATTCATTGCCGCGTGTAGCAACCTTTTCCCGTGTTCAGCATCATCACATAAACCAGAGAAGTACAGTACAAACCTGAAGTAGAGAAGGTAAACAAAATCAAATTTAAGAGGTTCCTCAAACAAGTTAGTGGAGTTAAACTTTTTTGCCATGTACATCTAATCCATACGTAAGATAGCAATACATAAAACGATGGCAGAAAGAAGGGAAGCATTATTATCGTCAATGATTTAGCATACATACATGCCTGACGGACAAACAGCCAGTTTGTCCGAACCGCCACCTATCTGGATAGCCCGGATTGAAGTATCCTGCTCAGAAAATAAAACTGGGAAGGAAAGAGGGAGGATTTGAGACGAGCAATTTTAGTTCGAGTACTCGAATTTAAAGAAGCACAATAACAGCACCAGAGTTAACTCTTACGTCTAGGAGGATACACAAGCAAGCAATTTGATACATCTGGCTTCAAGGAACTGGTCGTAATACATATTCCCCTGGCCACCTTTCTTTTATCACCTTTCAAACTTAAAACTTGAAGAGTTTCTTCCAGATTTGGTGAAGATGAAGCAGGTGGCAATGGGACTGTCAAGGTTGGATCCAAAAGCAGCTGATGACTAAATATTTCCTCGCCTGAAGCTAATTTAACACCCTTGTATTGCCCAGTTTGCTGCAAAAGTTCAAGCCATGATAAAACATCAACTATTTGCAACATTCTGGTAAAAATTAGTTTATTGCAGTAAATATGTTTTGTATTAAGAACAACCGTTAGTATGTTCATTCCATACCTTGTCCATAAGCAGGGCAGTCACTGGCATTCGCAGAACCTGGATGAAAGATGTTTCAGATACAGATAAGAAATACAGCGGTATTGATGCATGTTTGTGCATATATACTTCCAGTGAATGTTGTGGATTGACTCATTTTAGCAGAAATTAATGCACATGAACATAACTCAAACCCATTTTAAAGTGATAAATAGAACTATAACATCAAGCTAACTTCATGTTCTTTCTAAAAATAACATAATTCCTCCAAATACAGAGTCAGAGACAACCGGAAATTTTCAAGAAATTAAAAAATATATTAAGAAAAGTTAAATAAGAGAGCACATGTTAGCCCAACAATAAATAAATAATTAAGGCAGATAAATACAAAGAAGTATGGACAGGCCAATAACAGTTTAGGATACTTTTCCTCGAAATTAAATAGCAGATACTTCAACTTGAACTTACTTGGATGCAACCTTTAACAGCAGCACGACGGGTAAAGCCTTGTAATATCTCACCATGACCATAAAGTGGATAAAGCAAAGCCCCAGGCACATTTGGAAACCTAAGAAGAAAGAATGATAAAGAAACTACTTGTGGCATACAGATTTAAATATCTTCTTGGTATAAATTTGAGGCTCGTAATCTTGAGTCAGGGGACACACTGAAATCATTAGGTTTAAATAAGAAAAACACTACACCTCAACAGCCTCTATTTTTACATATAAGTTTCAATGAAAACAATAGGATACTACCCATTTTTACTTCCTTCTAGTTTCCCCTTCTACACAGATGTACTTATTTTCCATAACCATAAACCATGGCTGTCAAACATTGTACGGTTTCTTCAATTTTTATCACTAAAAAACATTACTCTTAACAATCTTCATATTGTCTCTAGATAATAAACAAATCAAACATGTTTGATATATAGATAAATTCTATATGGGTACCAGGTCAAGCATCATTACAATAGTACTTCACAGAAACTAAAACATCATAGAATAAATGTTAAGTACAAAACAAAATGAGACAACTGACCTTCCAACCGATTTTTGGTAGAGATCTAAACGCTCCATCCCTTCTCTTGTCTTAAGTACAGTTTTACAGACTTCCGAGTTGTCCTGATCGTCATCTGCCAGGGAAATGGCATACAGAATACTCCTGCATGGAAGAAAATGACACATTCTCAGAATAAGGAAGCGAAAAACTATCTGAGGCAGTGAAGAAACAGTTTCAGGATAACAAAGAGCCAGCTGCTTTCTTGGTGTAGTCCACTATGAAGACTACTCATGCTTAGTTTATTGGGAAACAACAGAAAAAAATAAATAAAATACAAAATCAATTTTTTTTTCATTACAAAAAATAATGTAACAAGCAGCAAAGAATACTAATTGGTTTCCTATAAATGGTTCAATGGCACTGAAGCAATGGACACGTCCAAACAACTTGGCAAGGTAAAGTAATCTTAACAAGGCAAGTGAGACAAGGGAACAAAGTAATGTCACTAACAGATAGAGAAAGGCAATGTGATCTGTACGATTTAATCTTGGGTGGCAACCGCATCCTCTTTAAGAAGTCAGCAAAGGGACTCTCCAAATCCTCCTCTGAAATCTTTGCATTTTCATTCCCTCCATCATCGCCAGCAGAGGCTGCCAAATGCTGCTGAACAAGCTTGAAGAACCTCATCAACTGATTCTTCTCTATAAGACTCAAGCTCTTGTCTTTAAATATTGCTGATCGAGAGTCTGGCACACTGGATAATCGCCCACTCTCATCACAAATGAAGCTCACATCAATGCTCTTGAAGCTCAAATACGAGCCCACGCCTGATTTAACTATAAGGTCAATGGCTTTGTCAGCACAAAACAAAACCCTAGGCCCGCCAAGGTCGATAAGGAACTTTGAGAACTGATTTGCAAGGATTTCTGGGGCATAGTTGGCAGTCTTAATGTTGGAGTATACTGATCGGAGGGTGACATCTAAGGCAGTGTAATCAAGGCTACTACTTGTAGAGCTGGTACCAACAATGGTGGAGGGCGGGGTAGCATGCGATTTTATGAAGGAGGTGAGCTCATCAAGTTGAAGAGAGGCAAACTGGCTGCCATAAAAATGGTTCCGGTCAAGGTGGAGGACAGTTTTTCCAGAAGCAGAGGCCGCAGCGGCAATTATTGTTGCAGGGAGGCCTGTCCCAACAACAATAAGATCAAACGTAGTGGTCTCGAGTTCGATTGGATCGTACAAAGACGAGTCACTCATGGCACTGGGTCGAAATAGTTGCAAATATCAGTTAAAGACCCTGCCTTTGCAAGGTCAGAGACTAGAAATTACTTAAAACTAACAAATCCGGCACGCCAATACGCACAATCCAAACCAAGCCTATAAGAAAACAAAGCAAGCAAACAAGAAACTCAATGTTAATACATTACTTATACAAAATTTAGCATAGATACGGAACTTTCGAGGAAAAATAAGTTGTGGGTATTGATTATTACAGCAGGTTATCCATTTGGGGCCGTTTCGATATCGAAATTAAATCACTAGCAATTCATTTCAAACCAAAAAGAGTAGAGGATCTCAAATTCTCAGTGAAATAAACATGGGTTTATCAAAAGCAAGTCAACTGAATAGCTACGGAAACTAAAGCTTCGATCTTTATATTTAAAAAATTATCAAATCAAATTTGCAAGTGAAAAATTAGCAGAAACCAATCGGAAGATAAGAAGTACAGATTACAGAGCAAAAAGGCAGCTGAGATGAGATTAATGGAAGTTGAGAAGCCGCACCGAAAAATGGAAAAATAAAAGAAAATCGGTTTCAGGAAGACGATGGATTGAAGGTCGCTAAAATTTACCTGGGAATCAGGAAGGAAGACGAAGAGTCGCAGCGAAAGAGCCCGCGGAACAGCAAATTCAGATGAAGAAGAAAACCTCTCCGTTTAAAGTTTGAACGGGTGAAGAAATAACTTTCTCATCGACATGTCGTTTCTCATTTGGGCACGAGTGGGCTACATGTCGTGCGTTATTACTTATTTTTTATTGATTTGTGAGTGGTGTGTGCTATTACTTGTTAGTTGTTACTTACAAAACAAAAACACCAATAAGCGCAGCCCTTAACAGTAACATACTCAGAACTAAGGTTGTATTGAAAATTTCAAATCTGAATCGGAATTTTTTGTTCCGAGTTCGTTTATTTTCGATTTCAAAATTTTTTGAAAAATTTGATGGAAATTGGAATGTACCTATTTGATGGAAATTTTTTCAAAAATTCGTGATGTTTATGGTTTGCAATTAGGAATATATTGTCGTCTCGTCTTACGATTTATTGAGTAAAAGAAAGTATCATTTTTTTATAAAAAATTTAGTTTTTGCGTTTGAAAACATACAAATTAATAAAAATAGTTCACGAAAATAGATTTTATGACGGGGTTTTGAGATTTTCGCAAAGCGAAACCCGTTCTTGTAAAAAATGTGCGTGTCGAATTTTTGCAAAATATTCATCCAATATCATTTAGCTCATCTTCCTTTTGTCCACATAAGGACTTGAATTTAACCAACAACTATTGTTTGTATATAAACTAAAGAGAAAAATGTTCTAGCCCAAGCCACACAATGGAAATTTCACATATAGATCTAAAACCTTCAATCCGCGACCATAGCGCTTCATCACTGTCTTGATCTGGATTCCGCCCGTCTAGCTTCATCTGGTGTCGATGGAAACAGCTCCACGTACCTCGACCCAATGGTCATCTTGTCCTTGCACATTGCCTTCTTTGCCTCGTCTGCAGAAACAAACTCCACATATGCCTCCCCGGTAGCTTTTCCGTCTGGGCGGCAAGCAATATGCACCCTATCTTCTACAACCTTGAATTCTCCAAAAAACTCCACAATTTCAGATCTTTTTGCTGAGAAGGGGAGGCCGCGCATCTTCAATATTTCAGTGTACTCCATTTTCTCCTTGTCGCTGAACCTCTTTGATTTAGATGGAGGAGGGCTTGCTGCTTGATAGTCATTATCATAAATTCCTTCATAGTTTACCTCCGCTGCAACAGCCTTGTAGTACTCCTGCCTCTTGCACCTGAACACTTCGACATACCTACGGCCCATGTTCTGCCGATCTCTCTGTAAAGCAAGCTCAACCTGCATGGGTCCAGCAAAAACAACAAAGGCCTCGCCTGAAAACCGTCCACCCTTGTTGACCAGCAACACATCAACAATATCCAATCCAGCAAAGAACTTGAAGATGTCAATATCTGTGCAGTTGAACGGAAGTCCCCTGAGACGGGCCACAGGAAAAACAGGGGGCTGAAAATTCCCACCATAGCCATAAGGTTGAAAGCCACTTGCGCCGCTGCTCACTGCGAAGTAGGGATCCATCATTCTTGGTCTCTTTGAGCCGACCTCGTACCCGTCCGAAACCCCCCCGCTTCCCAACATTGCCCTTAAATACCCAAAAAAGAGAAAATCCCCCACTCAACCTGTTAATAAAACCGAACCCAACCCACACATTTCCCTGACACCTAATGTCTGAAACCCTAGATTTGTTATTCTAACATAAATAATAATCATATCCACCAACCCCATATCAAACATATTAAAACATAAATAAACCTAGATGCATAGCAAACCACAGGAAAAAAAAAAATCCCATTTTTCCTACAAACAAGATGTCAATCCTTATGCAGCTAAGCTAACAGATGCAAGCAATCATATGAGATTTCACAAGCATAAAATCGGATTCCCAATCACGCAATACATACTCTACGATTTTAATAATTCACATCACCGCATAATTTATGAACTATTTGAGCATGTCACATATCATGAAAATCACAAACTCAAATTTCAAATTTGCCTACTTGTTTGATGAATTACACAAATAGGTTAATAACCAGCCAAGCTCTAAGTGTTCTACTAAATTCTTGAATTCGAAAAAATCCCAATTATATTACCAGATATAAAGATTTTCTTGATCAACTTTATTTACTCGATTGATTACCTTAATCCAAAAATCATCAGAATCGTAATCAAAACCATCAATTATGTTCTAAGGAAAACAACCACAGATTTCATACCTACAAATGCGAAAAGAAAAACAACATCGCGAGAAACAAACAGATGCATACAAAATCGAACTGTGCTTACCCTCTCGATCCGTACATGGTTGCAGGCTTGCAGCGATTTGAATTCCAAGGCAGCTTCGAGTCTCTAAAGGAGAAAGACTGAAATTTGGGGATTTGAGTATTATCCAGAAAAACCCTAATTGCGATCGTTCGAAAGGACAAATAGGAGATTATCGAGCTTTGATTTATATATGAGTCTCCATTGACCAGCTCCCTAATTGGGTCCGTGACTCGCCAGTATTTTGGGCTTTCAACCGACCCAATTGATCCAATCTTCAAATTTGAGGACGAGCTTTGGGCCAAGAATTTGGGCTTTAGGCCAGCCCATTCGAACTTTTCCCATGGGTTCTGTGTCAGCCTGCTTTATATGTCTCTTTGAATTTTTATAATTTTGATAGTATTCGAACTTAAAACATTTTCCAATTGAATAACAAGTTTAATATCCCAATTAACGTCCCAAACTAGTTACACCGTTGTACACCTTACTTAACTCATAATTCATAACAACACAATCTTGTATGGATAATCTTAACCGTGGGATTTTATATGAGTTAATGCGTATGATCACATTTACATCACATTAACAAAAAACTCATTAATTTAATAAAGGATTAAACGTTCAAAGAGACAAAATGTATATATTAATACAATTTGAAAATTACTTTAAATTTGAAGAAAACATAAAAGAAAGACAGAGAATATAAGGAGCATTTTCAAAACATATATCAACGTTCTCCGATGCAAAATGTCTGAACAAACATCGTGGAATCTGCTCTGCAAACTGCAAAGGACTAGTTTACAAATCAATGAAAAAGTTTGGATTAGTAAATGGTACTTAATTAAATTAAGAACAAAATGCCAGCTTGCTTAGTTAGCACTGTTAATACATTTATGCAGTAAATAATGTCTAGTGGAGGAGGACCCGAGACATGTGCATATCAAGAAAGAAGGGTTTACGTTAAAATAATCTCACGTGCCAAAAAGCTGGATTAGGTTAAAATAAAACCAAATTGAAAAGAGTCTCCACCAAACCTCACCAATGACTGAATCAACACTCAATTGCATTTGAATTTAAAGATCAATTTTTATGGTACGAGTATATTATTATTGTATTACGTGTTAAAAATTCTATATTGGAAGCATAACAAATGACAATATATGGTACATGGCTTTATTCTTAATTGAGTTTATATCACAAATTAGTCTTTGAAATTGTCTCACACCATCAAGATGGTTCATAAAATTGAAAATCGATCAACGTATTCCCTGAAAGTAGATGTCACAAATCAATATGGTCATTTCATCATAATTTTGTAAAAAATTTTGTTATGTGCTAATGTGTGTTTAACAATTAATTAAAAAAGTTGTCAAAACACATTTTTGCACAATGAGATTATCTCAAGGCAGAGCTTGACATTCTCCACGTCACCAAGATCATCGGGGGAGCGCCCAACAAGCTCTCTAATATTAGGGCTGTGAAGATGTCGATCGCCCAAATGTTGACGATGGAGTCACAAAAGTCATCACCAATCAAAGCAGTTAGCAAAAGTGGTCTCAATCTTGGTCCAATTCGATGAAGGTGTAAAGATGAGTGTCTTGAGATTTTTTTTTTAGAGAAGAGACTGCAAAGGTTACCATAGATGAAGGTATAGGAGTATGAGTTAGGAACGGAGGTGATTAATTATTAAATTATTAGACCTATTTCTAACGATAGGGATAAATTCACTCATTTTAAAGTATCAAGTAGCTAAATTGGAGACAATATAAATATTAGAATACTGATTCGTCTCTCTAAAATTTAATTCCTTCTCTTCTGTTGTACGTTGATAAATGCATAAATGCAAATTTTGAGAAGGATTCTTTAACTGAACTCTAGCAGCGCCGCTTCCTCTCTCTCACGAAGAACAAAAGGATCATCTTGCCGCCAACCCCTTTCTTTGGTAGGGCACGGTTGGCAACCTTTTCTTCTTTGTAATTTCTATTTTCATTTTTTTCTCTAGAATTTTCCTTATCCTATCTAGAATCTCAGGCTATGCCTTCATGGATGGCTTGTTTTCCCGGCATGCTTTAGGCATTATCCTAGTGTTCTTTGTCAGTTTTTTGGTGTTTGTCTTTATTTTGTGTTCGAAAAACCTAATCATCCTGCAATTTCCCTCCTTCAGCCCCCAACACCCAGCACCTTCTATCTCCTTCATAATCTCCCCTTATTTGAGCATCTTCACCCGTTGATAGAAGGTAATGACAATTGGAGGGTAAGGGCAATGAAATTATCCTTATTATTCACGCTAAACAGTAACTGTCTTTGTGCAAGTCCACTTGTTTGGAAGGAATAGGGCAAGGGAAGAGAGATTACTATTCACAAATATATTTTTTAATTTTTTAATGTTTTCTTCGTCTTTTCTCCATGTGTTAAATTTGCAGTGTGTCTTATTCTATTATTTTTGGTGTGTTTAATTTTATATGTTTAACTTGCAGTGTGTCGAACTTTGTAAGATTTATAAGTGTAAACTTTGTATGTTTTTTAAATGTTTTTAATAATTTTTAAAATAAATTTTAAATTTTCTTAAAATTTTTTAGAGTAGGATTAATCCTAGCCATTCAATTTTTAGAATCTAACACACCGCAATGCGCCACGTGGCCCGACTCCAAGATTTTTTATTTTTTATTTTTTTACCATTGGAAATCCAACGACCCAGATAAACAAACTATTGAAAACCCAACGGCTGTTGTTGCATCATGTTTGAGTCGTTTCGCTCTGTCTCCTTCACATAGGGGACGTTTGTCTGCTGCTTCATCAATCGAGCGCAAAGCTAGCCCTCGCAATAATTGGCATGGCAGCTGCCAAAGCACTTGCATTTCCAACAACTACCCTCCCATTTTTTCTTCACCGGTGAAGCAACTTTCTTGGGGCATGAAGGCAATTTCATCCAATTGCAAGGGCAATTGGGAATGGGTGAAGATGCTCTTACACACTATGTTGCAGATATGTCAACAATCTATGATAAAATTATGTATGCTAATAAATAATAAATGTGAATAGAAAAATTAACAGAGTATGAACAAAACAAAAATATAAAACAGACAACTTGAAGATCAAGGCTTGCATACCGCAATGTCCTTGAAACAGAAATTTCGTCTCTACTCAGTGCTTGTTATTCTACGGACGTCTGCTTCAACAGGATTCAACGATCAAGTTAAAATTCCAGCATCGGAAAACTTAACTTCTAGCGAATTTCTGTGTGGTTCTCTCAGTAAGAATATTTAGGAATGTAGAAGAATAATTTGATATTTTCTGTGTTCTAAATGTCATGCAGATGGATGTATATATAGTGGGATTATGCATGTTTACAACAGGTATTCATTCTCAATGGTCCATTACCCTAATCACTATCTATAAGAGATAAAGCCTTATAAAATGAGAAAACATTTTAGGAATGGCTAATGTGGGATAATGAAATTTCTATTCAAAATTTCCAACACACTAGCCCTCCCATAACCTTTGCTTAACGATACAACCGGCAAACTTGATTTGGCCGCCAGATCTAAATCCTCCCCTCACTACCCCTCGCTTGACCGGCGTGCCATAATATCGAGGCCAAGTGTGTAGCGGTTTAGGTGTTTGAGATGCCCCTTTTAGCCACATCTTCTCAATTGCTTGTGTTTTTTGTTCTTTTTGCAAGGGTATATGAAGGTGGTTTAGATCTGGTGGTTCTTTTCCGGTGCGACAATTTTGATGGTGAAATCTAGTTGGAGTTGTTTTCTTATTGTGGGTTGGAAATTTTTGTGTTGCAATGCCTTCATCGAATTCGACACGGAATAAATTTTCTCAGAGCAGCTATCCTTGTGGCTGGTTGCTAGTGAGGTCGTAGCGGCGATGACGACGGCAGCAACTACGTTCTGCTTTTGTGGGATGAAGATTAGAATTCTCTTTTTGTTTTTTTATCTTTACATTAAATGAGTTTTTTGACTATCCTAAATTTTTATTTGATTGTTTGACGTAATATACATTGAGTCTTCCCTCGTTCAATGAAATTTACGTTTTCTCCGACCCAAAGAAATGCAAATATCTTGAGAAAAAAATTGTGTAAAGAGAGCGCGCACCACACAATACTTTTGGCAAACTGGCCCCCAACTTTTCATTTCTCGATGGCCACCTGCTTAAATTTGTACCAAACACAATTTACTTTTGCTTTTTTTTTATTATCCAATATACAAAATTATTCGGTACTGTGATATTAGTGTCGGTGAGAGATGCATAAATACTATCTTTTGATTTTTCCGAACATAGATACTTTTATTGATTACCGTTCAATCTACTGCTTGATTTTACTGGTATTTGGTGATCAAGCTCCGAAGCATAAGCTTATCTACACGATGACGAGAACAAGAAAATGTCTTATTTCAATAAATACGATCGGTTATATAAATTCTAGAACGTTATTAAATTCGATTTAATTAGCGTTAAGTTTTTATAATTTCCAAGTATTCTATATCTTTTCTTAAAATATATTTTTAAGTTTTCTTAAATCTTCATCTACCTTTTTTGCTATGAGTCTCTAACTCAAACTCTCACGTTAAAGAAATTAATAAACCTTCATTACTTTAGCCCTTGTTACTTAATCTGGTTGATCACAAAAACATTACTTAATTTACATTGGTTTTATAATCCAATACATATATAGCATAGTTAGGAGATATTTTTCAGTGTGACCGGTATAGAAGAAGGTACATCACGTGTCACTATACAAATTATGGGATATGTGTGTTAAAAAGTTAATAACTTAAAAAATAAAATTTCACACCACTTACATAAAAACATGGAATATACCACTCGTTTTGCTATCGCAATAAAAAATTTCTCCACAGTTAGCAGTAAGTAACACGTACAGATCTGGACTAAACCAAATTATTATCCTCTATGAACCCAAATTTAAATTAATGTAGTACATGAGACAAATTAGACGTCCAATAAAAAGAATTGTTGGCTTTGAACTTTTGATTGGATCATAACTATACAAGAAGGTGGTTACATTAATTAAAGCAAAAATGGCACATCCGATAGGTGCGGATAGGTAGCAATAATTCAACTGAGAAAAGCATACGGAATGGAAAGTTCCTTTCTATATTATTAAAGTAGGGAACGAAAAATAGATCGGAAATCAAACAAA